TAGCAGCGATAAGTCTATATGGAAGATGTAAGTAAGATACATACTGATCAGTGTTCACTACAGTTCTATTAAGTCTGAAGCACCGCTGAAAAATAAGCAGAAGCGAGTAACTTCCATGCGAATCAGAACAAAGCGTTGTTTTTTAGGTGAACCTAACCTTTGCACAAATGACTGGTATCTATGATGCGTACATGCATAGAAATCTCACACCAGAAATCGGATTCGATTTGTCGCCCATTATGTCGGTTTTCTAGATTACCGCTTAATAAGTACAAAAAGAACCTGTTATAATTCAAGGATGATTCAACTTTCTGGAGATCTCTTCGACTTGAATAAGTACCTCAATAAAACCCCTGATCCACAAGAGTATCCGGACGCTGGGCATTGTTCAGGTTTTGTCAAACTAGCAGACGGAAATAAGGTGAGTGGCTGAACAATGCAGTCCTTTTGCCACATCTTCAGGTTTGCAAAGCATTTGTTACTTATGCGAATGCATTGTGAAGCATTACTCCTTGTGTATTGTAGTTGGTGATTATACATATTTCTCCTAAAAGTTCCCTAAAATTACAATGAACAAGAATTCTTACTATCAGGACATGTTCTTCGCCCATGTAGCGATGTCGAGCCTTAGCTGGATGATCAGAGTCTTGAAGCTGTACAAGTTCGCTTTTGGTGAGTCCCACTAACGTATCACCCTAATCGTGGGCAGTCATTCCCGCATACTGCGTACTCTGTTTAGTTTTTCAAAGGGAACTTCTAGAAGTTTCACTCTTCCCTTAAAGAGGTCAATTTCAGATGCTAAAGAAGTGCCAGGTCACACCGTTTCGTTCTCCGGTTATCCAGCACAGCTCGCTTCCGCAGACGACTACACCCTAACGAGTGCTGGACTGGTAATTTTATTTACGATAATATATACTAATACCAGTTATACTGAAAGCAATAGAGGAGGCAAACTGCTCCTAAATTATCGATCGGCTGCTTTCAGACTTCAACGACGCGACCGACGGGCGCTCTTCCGTCCGTCGCGGACAAGTGGTTAGCACCGCCGTCGCTAGCGCGCATGCGACGGACGAAAGAACGCTCATCGCACGCGTCGTTTAAGTCTAAGTAGCCATCGATAGGGAGAGCGAAATGAGAAAGGAAATCGAGGAGCGCCAGCCTTTACAGAAATTCAAAGTGCATCGTGTTAAGGTCATTACAGTCATCGCAAATAGGAAACTAGCAGAGCCGCGAACATTTTGCTGAGATGCGCTCCTACGATAATAACAGTCGTTTCGCTAACCATGCAAAAATCTAGCCGAAAAAGAATTTTTGAAAAAAAAAATGCAGAAACGGCATTGAGCTCTCAAAAATGGAGCGTTCTTTCACATCTGCTGAAGGTTTTCTTAGGCTAAACAGATTTAGGCAACTTTTCAAGCCAATATATGGCTCATTCTCATGGACTTCTCACGACTGATGTATAACAACATTAGTTTTTGGTTTGTATGGGTTTTAGACATCAACGGAGTGACTTCGTTCCTTAACGTAAGCGTCTTTACTACCACTTAACACGAAGGTTGCTGAGGGAACTTTCGGGAAAGCATGTAGGGACCATGCTAGGTGCAGCCTGACAGTCAGGCACTCTTACCACTCCTAAAGGCTTCCAACTCTTTGAAAGCGTGGTGCGATCTTTGCACTCAGCTGTATTCAACTGTAAACGCTGCTGAGTTAGAAACTTTAGACTGGAACTACTTATTGCTATGATAAATGTCAGATTTGTCGACAGTTGGTGGCAGGAAGTGATAAGAGTTGGAAGAGTTGATAAGGCGTGTTAAGAAGCAAAAGACATACTTTTTGGGGTTTTCCTTATGAGGTTTTTGCGTGGTGTGGTCAAGCACTGTTTACCACAATCCAAAACCTTCCTTCTTATCAGTGTGAAAAGGACGCTCGAGAAATAATCCTTCGCGGTTGTAGCATAAAGCTCTTGCGGTAGCAGCAGTGCCCGCGGGTAAGCTTTCGTGGTACAAATGCCCAGGGTATAGAGAAACAATGAGATCATTTCCTTCTTGACGAAAACGCATCTCTTTGGTATGGTTTGTCGACATCACACGTTTGCTAATACTGCCACACAACTCGCACTCCAAGCTCGTGCTGGATTAGAAACTGTCATAACTGTCGGAGGTGCTGCACGAAAGCTGCTTCTGCGTAGAATGTCACGGATGATGGAGCGAGAGTACAAGTCTTTATTCCATTTTCCTTGAACTTTGAGAAAATGACTCTATACGGAAACAAGGGCAATTTTGGTATTGGAGTAACGTGGATGTTCGTTTGATCAAAACTCGTCAGAGCAAATTTCTCTTCTAAAAAGAAGATCGTATCGTCTATAGCAGGTGTGGGAAAAGATGAACTGTTCCCCATCGACGACCATACCCCATTCGAGCACGAGTGTCGGAGCGACCCAGATAGATTGGCAGAGCGAAGCAGGAGGCCTCGGTAGTCGTCTCGGTCGATAATAACTTACTTTCAACGGAGAAGTTGAATCAGTTACACTAAGGGTCTATCACCAATGCCCATTTTCGTTCATCTATTCCATAGCCCTACTTACCGCAGTCCATGGAAACTGAAAGCCGAAACTTCCTCGAAGTTTTTACTCACCCAAGATTATGGTGCGAGTTCTTTCAGGCTTCCATTGAAACTACGATTGCCATTTTCAACAAAACTCTCTATTCGGACAAGTATATAAAGCCGGAAGGATCAGTGCACTGCTGGCTCAGATCAGTAATTGCGAATTATTTAACAAAGTCAGTTTCACCTTATTTTTCGAGATACCTAGAGCTCCCTAAGGATGACATTTGTTCTATTACTGCTTGAGGTATAAATGGAATCTGCAGTTTTTGAAAAATTCAAATATAAGACGACCCCCTATAATAATTATTGCATTTCACCTTGATGAAGTGTTTGTTTCCAAAATTCGTTCCACATTAGAGCCAGAATGATAGAATAGGTTAGGTTGCACCAAAACTACAATGCTCATAAGAAATTTCAATCTGGTGAAGATGAAGAGTTATTTCACNTTTTTGAAAAATTCAAATATAAGACGACCCCCTATAATAATTATTGCATTTCACCTTGATGAAGTGTTTGTTTCCAAAACCCGTTCCACATAAGGGTCAGAGTGATAGAATAGGTTAGGTTGCACCAAAACCACAACGCTCATAAGAAATTTCAATCTGGTGAAGATGAAGAGTTATTTCACGTTTTGACGGCACAACTTAACCCTTGTCATGAATTTTTGATTCATAATGTATTAAATACTGGCATATAAAAGGCTCACGATGTGATCGTGAAGAAAAACTTAGAGAGCTTCGTCAGCCTCACTGCTTTGTTCTCACCAGCCTCGGCCGATTGGGACGCTAACATGATCCCTGGCCTTGCGGCTCATGCACGACTTTCCGACATTCTAGGAAGGATTCGGCCGGAAGCGGCCATTACCGATGATTTTTGAAGAGGATTTTACGCCTCGAGGAAACCTTTGTTAGAAACAAGGGGAGGTCAGGCAGCTGGTACAGTCCACCACCAGATCTCGAAGACCGTGTTAGGATGGGGAGAAAGAGCCAAGTCAACACAATTGTCAAAACTCAATTCGCTTTAGTGACAGTGTGAAGGGTTAGGAGATGGGAATGGAAGTTGCCGTATTTGTCTTTCATTGATACATTGTGGAGTTGGCAGCTTAGGAAATAAAGATTTGCGTAGTGCAGAAACCAATCTTGCATTTGGAAGTGATGCCCCAAAACAAAACGTACAGTTTGATCGAGGAAAAGGCATATGGAATTGAAGGCATTGCATAGCGCTATGTTCGCATTATGATGCTCTAATTTCAGAACTCCCAAAGAATGGGTCAAGTTGTTCTCACGCTACAATTCTGGTACGTACAACAATCAGTGGACAGTGGTCGACTACAAGAAATTCAAACCGGGCCAGGAGATCCCAGACAAGGACTTGCTTTGGATTTTGGAACAAACTCCGTAGGTCTAGCTGGCATCCTCGATTGGTCCAGTTTTCAAATGAATCATAGTTGTTTATTCCTTCATTTATGTTTTCTAAATCTACGACATTACGCGCTGATCTCTATGATGATTTCATTCTAGGGCATCCATCAAATCGCAAGATGTTACGTGGTTCCTCAAAAGGTACAGCTATTGGCCATCGTATAATGTGCCCTTCATAAAAGATATCAGCATAGAGGCGGGATTCAGCGAAAAGGTAAGACACCACCTCTAAACCTTGAAAGAAACTTCCCAATTTTTCTTCACCGTTGAATCTAAGTCCCTTTGAAGGCTAGGGAACTCAACTGGTACAAATGGGGATCTACTCCACGTGCAAAAATTTTCGAGAGGGATCATCATAAAGTGCAGGACATAGATTCTTTGACGAAACTGATGAGGTGAGGATATACATAATTCGATTTCTCGGACAGATGAACACTACGTGCTTGGCTCTAACTAGCAGGAAAATTGGCCCCGCAACATCTGGTGGTTAGAAAAACTCTGTGGTTTGCAGGGCGTTTTTACACGTCACAAGGAAACCATTTTGATCCACGGTGAACTGTCCCTTCGAAATGCTCATTAGTGCGTTGGGAAGCCAGGATTTCGACGATTCACCACTTACCTCCTACGTGAGAGCGCTGACGTTAACGACCACCTTGAGTATATTAGTTATGAGACAGAAAATAGAGGGTACATTTTTGTGAGCCCGTGAACTCAGCGGACTCAAGGCGAAAACTTGCGCACCCATGTGGCGCATAAGATTTACGGGCACTATTAAGGGGCTCGATCCTGAAGAGTTTCACCGATAACTACATCAACTTAGGTACAACGACTACACCCATGAGGAATTCGCCCGCTGCAAATGTTCACCTTTACCTTACACGGCGGAAGTGAGTTTTGTATAATCTCTGTCACAACAAGAAGTATGCAAAATTTGACAACTTATAGGGAGGGATATCGGCTCGTGGTGATTTGAACCTACCCAATGGAACGTATGAAGTGGATAGCATGGGATTCCGTGATCATGCTGGCCTTGATTATAAGGTAATTCAGTGAAACAATTGAAAATATCTTTACATTCACTGCACTTGCGTCAAGAAACACAAGGAAAGCAGAAGTTAGGTTATATTCGTTGCATTGCTTGGAAATCAGGCTTCAAAAAGGTTCAGCTTTAGATCAGATCGTTCAAACTATCTCCATCTTAATTTTGGCTAGTTGTCCAACCACCTCCCACAAATTTTTCACCTTCGGAAGTTCTCATTTTCAGGGAACTAACTACGAGATGTTCTCGAAGTTGCGATTCCGAGCATGGGGTGGCCCAACTTATGATCCACTCCCAGTTTTTGAGTTAGTTTATTCCATTCATTTAAAGAGATGTCGAAGCCTATGATTTAATTCGAAGGAAAGTCTTATTTAAGCTGGTCGACAACCAACGTCGTTGCAAATCACTTCGGACAACCACAAGTATGGAATTTCACCTACGTCGATTTGGAGTGGGAAACAAGCCCCCAAATTCTTGGTTTTGACGTTCCTGATGACCAATTGTGATCTTACTAAATGTTTGTTGGGTACTAGACATTTCAGTTGTTATTTTGTCATGTTATGTTCAATGAATACTGTAACTTCATTATACGTGGATTCTGAAATTAAATTGCACCTGGCCACCTTTCTTAACACCCGAGCTCGACAAGTTTGAGTCACAACTTCACTCTCCCCCATACGTGAATCACAAAAGCTGTCACTCTGCGTATGGCTGATGAGTTGTGGCTAACCATGAAGGTAAGGAAGGTTAGCCTAAACTAGGACTCTATGTTTGGGCCTCCCATGTCCCACTTTTAGGAACCAGCAGAGTTTAAGGCGCAAATTCGCTCCACTTCAGACGATCCCTCCCGCTAAATGGCTTCAAGTAATCCGCGACAGACTACATGTTGTGTTGCTCTACTTGGGGGACCAAACACTGCTGTTTACTCGATTGCTACTCCACACACGACCCAGTTATATAAATTCAATTCTGAAAAAAAAGAGGACTGGTATTAAAGGTACCTCCTGGCATGTATAGACCAGGAACACGTACAAACTTCGTAATAATTTTCAATAGATGTACATGTGTTATATAGGTGTTGAAATTTCAGTTTGCACCAATCTCTAATAAACCCAGATACATAAGTTACCTGGACCTTCTGCCACCTCCTGTGGATTTTCTGAGTAGGCGCCAGCACCACGAAGCCCTTGTGATGCGTCATTAGGATTGTCCGCAACTAACAAACCACCAGCACATTCTATAATTGCGGAAAAATTTAGGAAAACTGAAAAAGTAAGTTCCAAGGTCTAACGTGACCTCTTCAGAACTCGGAATGAAATCACCTGAACATTTTCCTGCTTCTTGCGGATTTTCTGGAGCACCTGCAGCCATTCGTTCTTCTGGTAGATTATAAGGTTGGTCCGCAATTCCTGAAACACTTTTAATCTGATACTTTTAAAATAATTAGAAGACGAGGTAGCCGAGTTGGATAGAGTGTAGGCTCGTGTCTACATTCGAAGAAGCCCCAGGTTTGATAGTCGAAAATAAGCCCCTGCGTCACCCGAAAGTGGTGCGCAGGACCCCTGCCCTAGTCCGCCGGATGGCATGCGAGAGCTATGGAACACTGAACGACCTCGATACAGAAGTTTGTTTGTAGTTTTACTCTGTATGTTGCATCGCTTTCAGGGAAGTCCCCAAAAATTGCTTACATCCGAGTTCCTCGAGTGTTCTAACTACAGTGTAGACAGGATCAGCGCGCAAGACAATTTGCAGCATATTTCCGTGAAAAAGGAGATTTGGCAGGGAAAGGGAAAGGTTTCAACTTCGCACGAGACTTCGAATGGAGACCTTTGCACCGCGTGCTCCTCTGCCAGTGAACGCTTTCATAAATCTTTTTTTGATATATGTTCAAGTAAGTGCCTAATTCACGCTAGCCTTTACGCTTATCGCACTTACCTAGGTTAGACTGCTTTTGTATGTAATTTACATGACTTATTATGATACTGAGGAAGATATGATTCTCTTGTAATTTGATACAATAAGACGAATCAGTGGGGTACCAGCAAGTGCCTATTAACCTGCCGTCCCAAAACACCGATCTATCTTTGTGTACCATGCCCAGTTTCAAGATAGTGGATGCATATATCGATGGTTGGGGAGGAGAACCACGTATAAAGTCCGAAATTCGTGAACAACAAGCTTCTTCGATACATTTCTCAATCGCTTCTTCATTTCCGAGTTTTTACACAATTTAATCCGATCCGATTCCTCTCGTGTGCTTCAATGTTGAGAATGAAAGAGTCATATTAATATTGTAGAGAACCCTTCTGTGTTAAGTTCGAAGCCTTTGAAAAGCTAGCCTAAAGGCGCATACTTAATAAAATGCCATGAAAGACTGTAAAATTGTTCATTGCGAAGCTGTGCAAAGATTCTGACGACGGCTTGAAGCAGACCCACAACCCTTCTGAGTACTTCAACTGAATTTGTTTNTTAATCCGATCCGATTCCTCTCGTGTGCTTCAATGTTGAGAATGAAAGAGTCATATTAATATTGTAGAGAACCCTTCTGTGTTAAGTTCGAAGCCTTTGAAAAGGTAGCCTAAAGGCGCATACTTAACAAAATGCCAATAAAGACTATAAAATTGTTCATTGTGAAGCTGTGCAAAGATTCTGACGACGGCTTGAAGCAGACCCACAACCCTTCTGAGTACTTCAACTGAATTTGTTTGCAAGGAAGGTTTGAAGACTGATAACTTTGTTGGGAAACTGATTTAGCACTATGAACTTCTATACTCGTGAACAGCCTTCTAGACTCTATCAGCAAACCAAGATCTCCCGTCGAAGTTTCATGGGGAATTGAAACCTTTCATAGTCAGAAGGTATCCTACAGCAGTGTAGGAAAAAACAGAAAGGCTGTGTTCTCGTATAAATATTGCCCCTCATACCTGTGAAGAACATCAGGGGTCCGCTCGGCAAAGAACCAGGTTCCTCACGGGGAATACTAGGTTGGTTGGCCATTTCTGAAACATCTAGATCTGATAGTTGTTTGAAAAACAACAAGAAAAAAGTCGCAATGTGACGTCGGCAATCTGAGTGTAGTCACCTGGACCATTTGCCATTTCTTGCGGATTTTCTGGAGCACCAGCACTTAGTCGTCTTTCTCGCAGATTACCAGGTTGGTTGGCCATTTCTGAAACACTTCGATCAGATACATACTTGGAAACAAAAAAAAAAGAAGTTGCGACATGACGTCAGGAATCCGTATGCAGTCACCTGAACCTTTTGCCATCTCTTGCTGATTTCCTGGAGCGCCAGCACTTTGTGGTCCTTCGGGTGGATTACCAGGTTGGTTGGCCATTTCTGAAACACCTCAGATCTGCTAGTTACTTGAGAATAAATAGAAAATAGAAGTTGCAATGTGACGTCAGAAACTTCAGTATAGTTACCTGGACCATTAGCCATCTCTTGCGGATTTTCTGGAGCACCAGCACTTTGTCGTCCTTCGGGTGGATTACCAGGTTGGTTAGCCACTTCTGAAATACCACCGATCTGATACTTAGCTGAGAGTCAAGAAAAAAGGGTTGCAACGTGATGTCGAGAATCTGAATTCACCAGGACCATTCGCCATCTGTTGTGGATTTTCTGGAGCACCAGCACTTTGTCGTCCTTCAGGTGGATTACCAGGTTGGTTAGCCATTTCTGAAATACCACCGATCTGATACCTAGCTGAGAGTCAAGAAAAAAGGGTTGCAACGTGATGTCGAGAATCTGAATTCACCAGGACCATTCGCCATCTGTTGCGGATTTTCTGGAGCACCAGCACTTTGTCGTCCTTCAGGTGGGTTACCAGGTTGGTTAGCCATTTCTGAAATACCTCAGATCAGAGACTTACTTGAGAGTCAAGAAAAAAGGGTTGCAACGTGATGTCGAGAATCTGAATTCACCTGGACCATTAGCCACCTCTTGCGGATTTTCTGGAGCACCAGCACTTTGTCGTCCTTCAGGTGGATTACCAGGTTGGTTGGCCATTTCTGAAGCGCCTCAGATCTCATACGTACTTGAGAATAAACAGAAAATAGAAGCTGCAATGTGACCTCAGAAACTTCTATATTGCATTATTAAAGAACTATTACCTAGACCATTTGACATCTCTTGTGGATTTTCTGGAGCACCAGCGCTTAGCCGTCCTTCGGGTGGGGGTGGAATACCAGGTTGGTTGGTCAACTCTTAAACAAATCAGATCCGATACTTACTAGGAAATCAAAAAAAAAAAGAAGTTGCAACATGACGTCAGAAATCTGTATGCAGTCACCTGAACCTTTTGCCATCTCTTGCGGATTTTCTGGAGCACCAGCATTTGGCCGTCCTTCAGGTGGAATACTAGGTTGATTGACCAACCCTAAAACACCTTAGGTCTGATAAATACTTGGATATCAAGAAAAAGGAGTTGCAACGCGACATCAGGAATCTGAATCTAATCACCTGGACCATTTGCCATCTCTTGCGGATTTTCTGGAGCACCAGCACTTAGCCGTCCTTCGGGTGGGGGTGGAAAACTAGGTTGGTTGGCCAGTTCTGAAACAAATTAAATCTGCACTTACTTGGAAATAAAAAAAAGGAATTGCGATGTGACGTTAGGAATTTGAATATAGTCAACTGGACCTTTTGCCATCTCTTGTGGATTTTCTGAAGCACCTGCTCCTAGTCCTCCTGGTGGGTTGTTTGGTTGGTTTGATAAATCTGAAATTCCTTACATTTGACAATCTGAAAAAATTGAGAAAAAAGCAAGGGAAAATTAGTTGCAACAAGATGAAAAAAATGGAAAGTAGTGAAAAAAAAACTGCAATGAGACTTTCGCTAGAGCGGATTCAGTGAGTTCTGGTAATTTAGTCGATGCTAACTTTCGAATGATTGTGACAACATTGTAATCCACTTCGGCCTTTAAAAGCTAATCAGGGTATAGTCACCTGGATTATTTTCCGGCTCTTGTAAATTTTCGGCACCAGCACCCTGACGCGGGTTTTCGGGTTGGTTTGTAATTCCTGGAACACTCTACGATAAGTATTAAAAAGTCTTCGAAAATATGTTTCAAAAAAAGAGACAGCGTTGCAACGTGCCATCCGATCCGAAGGACCTAGTCAGTTCTACGCTGAAATTTTGTTAGAGCTACGTAAACCCTTCCAAAGCTCTTCAACAGAGTTGCCCGCGATAATACCAGCTATGATCAGCTCAAAGTTGTGCTTAAGATAACCCAATGCCGGACCTTACCATCAAGGGCACTCAATCAGTACCGCTAACCCACAAGATGCCTGCTACAATACTTGATTTCGATGAGTTACGTTTCGCCGCTGAACAAGATTTCAAACATGCAAGATATGCTTCTGGAGATCGTCTTCAATGGAATAAGATGCCAGCGTTCAGACAACCACGAGAATTTGTCGAGATCTGGAGATAAGTGGAGATCGTTTGCTTGAAGAGTGAAGCATACACTAGCCCTGCAGTCGTTTTGGTGTCTTCATATTCTCACTGTCTCTGTAGTTTCGAAGACTACACAGAATTTACCAGTGATAAGAGGTAAGTTGTATTGTATGCTTCTCATTCCAGTAGGTGGTATGGAACTGCATTCAATATTTGGAATATTCGATGCGAGTGAAAACAGATTTATTGACTCGTCTGACCTATCGATGAAACATAACATAGTTGTGTAATGGAAACCTTCCTAAACCATTTCTGCGGCAGTGTTGACACCACACACCGACATTTTGACAGAAATGCGCTTTTACGCTTTCCCTTCCCAAGGGGAGAGAGCCTTAGTCATCACTTTCCCTGTAAATAGAAACAGGAAAACCTGTCCTGTTTAGCTTCTCATCATCCGTCTTACAGATGATGTTCTAGCACTATAGTGCGTTTCATGAGTATAAGACCACCTGTATAAGATCACCCTCAAATTTGGTGTTTACAGGATAAGCATCCAAGCAGATAAGTTTCAAGCACTACCATGAGATTCACCACCCTGAATAGCCCTCATGCACTGGACTTTTTTGAATCAACTTCTACCATAACATTTTTACAAATAATTTTTGAATTTTGCGCCATTTTATAAGTACATGATCACTTTGAGAATTTAAAAAATTATCATTAGTAACGACAAAAAGACAAAAAAAAACATTTAGTAGCCGATGAGTCTTCCTTGTTCAAGGCCAATATCGAATAGTCTATGTGGCATACTCGAAACAAGGTTTCGAAAGACCTCGCCGGAGATTTCATTCCAAGATTCAAGTACTGCCTGCTTGATCTATCGTCTGGAACTGACGGTTGTTCGCATAAATCTTTTTTACAATGATGCCCCTCAGATTGTCCATGGGGTTCAGATCGGGGCTGCAAGCTGGCCATGTCAGAACTCCGAAATTTCGCGAAAGGAACCAGTTGTTTCGTGGAATGGCTAACGTGGGTCGCAGCACTGTCCTGTTGAAAAAAACAATGTTAGAAAAACATGGACATAAAACGTCGCCGGCTTAGAAATTTCACCGGGTGCCATTGTAAGACTCCCTGAAAGTCTCTGGAATCCATTTTCGAGGTCACGAGAGCAAGCTCCAGCTCGACATCTTTGCAGAAGGCACCCGTACCATGACGCTTCCTCCTCCAAAATTGCGACGACTAGAGTTGATCGGCTCTTTTCATAAGTCATGCCTGTAGTAGTTGTAACCATCGGGGCCTTCCAATTTTCATCGAAAAATACTACCTGAACGAGAATATGGACTGTACGGCTAATCGGTAATACAGGCTGACTTCCGTTCAATCTCATCCCAAATTCAACTTCGTAAATTCAAGTCGTGTCTTCCTGTGGTGGTCGCTAAGCCTCGGAGCCCTCTTCGTTGCTGCCCTGACAATGCTCCTGCTCTTTTTCATGGCTCTCCTCTTTCAGTAGTTTTAGACACCGAGAGACCTTATTCCAATGGAACTTTGTTCAACGACAAGGTTTTGTCCGAAATAGTTCTTCCGCGGACATCCTGTCCTCGTAGGGGCTCTGTAATCTTCGAATATCTTTGAACGGAGCTGAGGGATCTCACGATTATCCTCCTAGTTGCCCTCCTACTGGTTGAAGGTAATGGAAGATATGTGTTTGGCTGCTGCTTATCCTGTAAAAACCAAATTCAAGGGGCAGTGTATATGAAGGCCACTAGCTCAGTCCTACAGCCCATTCTTTCGAGAAGCAAAGCCAAATTTACAAATGTCATATGACCGACATCGGATCTTCCCTCAATCATGGGTTCAAGCAATTCCGAAGAACTAAACGGCTTCTCCAGAGTGAACATGATCAGGACATGGTTAGTCAGATATCAGAATGCTGCCCTTTTAAGCATTGTAGAACAACATTGTTCAAAACACTTTATGGAATGGATGCACACGTCATTCGCGCTCAACGTTTGGCAGATCCGAAAAAAATAAAGGGGACTAGGGGGACTCCAAGGATGCCGCCATTAATGACACACATATATAGACTTTACGATTCCTGTATTCGCTGAGAATAGTGACCTGCCCTTGTTGGTGACGTGTCTTCGCCAATACCCGCTTGTGATGGGTTACTGCCCTCCCGTAGAGCAGACCTTGTACTGATATAGTAGCACGTTTGTGGGCCCCTTTCCGCTTTCCTTTATAGGGTACTTCACGTCACTTCTCAATGATCGTGCATGCGACGAATTCCATGCTCGATCGCTCGTGAACAGTCGATAGTTATTCAGACAGGGACACTTTGTTTGTTGTCGATTCCTCTCGGAATGTCCTTGATTGGCGGCTACGAACCTCTTTGCACAACAAGATCCTTCACTCAAGGTGCAGTCAACTGAAAACCCTCAATATTGCACATTCCAATCCTGCGCTGTCCCGAATTCGATCCTCATGTCAATCTGGGAATTATCATATCTTTTTTGCCTCTGAAACCAGTTGGAAACAAGTCTGATCTTCCTATGCATTCTGGATATGATTCATGAACCTGATCGAGTTAAAATATTTGTAACATTATTGGAAAAGCTGAGTAGACCATTCTTAGCTATAGTTGATAACCCATCACAACTAAATTGATTTAGAAATCTCAGATGATGTACAGGGTGCGCCATAAATATGGTAACAAAAATATTGGCCTCCAGAAACCGTAATTCACATTGATACATGATCAATTTTTGTGAATTATTTACTGTGCATCACATCTACAAAACGAACACACCATCATCTTGTATAACCATTTCCTGTAGTAATTATAGCTCGAAGACGCTCCGGCTACCCATCGACAGGGCACGCTGAGTTTCTTGAAAATTTCCAGTTCGGGCTTTTTTCATTGATTTCTCAGGAGCAGTAACAGTGGTCCATTTTGAAGCGCAGGCTTTCCTCTCCAGCATGGACTATATCCAACGACCCACCACATTGTGGTCCGGGAAATTCGTAGGAGGATTGCAAGCTGGGATTAAGTAGCGAACATTTCCTCAGCACCACCTTGATCTTTTCCCATTCGTGAGCAA